GATTCTCCCTGCACACAGCAAGTCATCATTCTGCTGGCTAGCAGAACACAAAAACTCTCCTTTCAAGACACAGTTCCTAGAAGATGTTTCTAATTAAAGTGATTAATGATTTCAGCTCCAGACAGACTGAAGCATGTGGGACACAGTCACCTTATCTTGAAATGGACACAACACAGACACGTCATTGCTAACCAGGGTGAGCAGCGACTCATGGCAGATGGGGTCACACACACAGAGAAGGAGAGCTGGAGCGAAAGAACTTGTAAATCAGCATGCAAGTTTGCACACAGTCCTGCAGTCTGAAGGACTGGTGGGGAACAAGCTGATCCAACAACTGAGGATGCAGCTCTTGATTCTGAAGTTGGAAAGAGTTCCATCCAGATACATGGTCAAGGGCCCAGATACTCTTAGGGGCCACAGTCCCTACGTCTCTGGTCTATAACTGAGCTACACATTATGCCGATCATGAAGGGTTAACCTCATTGGCAAGAAGAGGGAGCACCAGGTCCCTGGGCAAATATAATAATCTCCCTACACCCATTGCTTGGACTTCTGTGGTTACTTGAAGGAAAGGCACTTTTCACTTACAAATTATAACTGAATCAAAAAGTGGAAAACAAACAGCTCACTGAGGTCTGAGCATGCTCAGCAGTAGGAATGTCAAAGAATTCCGATAAAAATGGAAGCGGGAACAGAAATGGATGATATTTGCTTATTCATCCCATGTCCAGAAAGGAAATCAATCCAATGAATACAATCAATCTTCACTGTTGTTGTTGCTGCTGCTGCTGCTGCTGCTGTTGTCTGTCCTCATTTGCACTGTGTTTCCTTGCATTGAAATGGATGGTAGAATAAAATAATGATAATGTAACTTATGAAATTTATACATTTACACAAGTTATGTAATTTTGCCAAGGCAGACAGTGAGACAAATAACACAGATTTCCATGGAAGATGAACTGTGTTTGAACTGAGGCTATGCTGCTGCATGCAACAAACATAGAACAGAATGGAAAATGATGCCGTCTTACATGCACTGAGAAGTCACAGAGAACTGGGGAAGGGCAGGGGAGGCAGCATCTTCAGAGAGGGCATGGCTGGCCAGCCAGCAAAATAATACCAACAGAAGCATCTGGGGAGCAGGGAGTGAGAAGAAGTAGTAACCATTTCTTCTATTTCTTAATATTTCACTATGTATGGCATGGTAGTTGTGCTCCACTTGTGAACCACATTGGATCAGGCCATGACCCACTAGTAAGTCCTGACACACCTGGTGAAGACCAGTTGAAGCCATCTATTTGATTGTATTGTGACTTTAAAAAACCCCACCAGTGCTTATTGTAATAATCTTACAGAAACTGCTTTGTGAAAACAGTATACAAGAACTTTACATCCATAAACTCTATGCAGGAACACATTTGCTAACCAGTGAGGCTAGCAACATTTTGCCGCAGTTCTCTCTTGTGCACAACTTGAAAACTGACCGCAGAGGAGTCTACAGATAGGAACCTAGAAAACATAGGTAACATTAAAATCACAGATCACGCCCCAGTAGAAGTTACCCTTACATTAGGAGAGAGAACACAAACCACGCCATCATGGTCCTTCAGCCCCATCCTAACCACAAATAAACAAATTAGAGAGAGTCTCACAAAAACTCTCCAAAACTACTTCAAGGAAAATGATGTAGACAATATAACAACTCCCCTCCTATGGGATGCAATGAAAGCGGTCACCAGAGGAGTTTGCATAAAAGAGAAAGCATTCCTTAAAAAACAAACCTCCTCAAAACTTAGCAAAATAGAACAAGACATCACAGCCCTCTCATCACACTACAAACAAACAGGATCTAAAAAACTCAAAATTATTGAACAAAAAAGGAGAGAACTAGACTTCCTAGAAATCAACAAAACAATGATCAACATTCTATACTCTAACAATGCTTCTATGAGTATGGAGGGGAAAACTCCAGACTATTAGCAAATAGGTTTAGGGAAAAAGCACTTAAAACAAGAATACACTGCATCACCAAAAAAGACGGCAACATAACATTCTTCCCCAAAGAAATAACCTCAGAATTTGCAGAATTTTACTCCAACCTATACACCTCCCATAACCCACCTGAGGAGGAAATCTGAAAATTCCTAGAGGGGCTGACAATGCCTACCTTAACTGATGAGGAACAGGAATTCATGGACAGTCCTATCATCCCAGAGGAAATAGATATGGTCCTCAAAAATCTGAAGCCCCACAAAGCCCCAGGCCCAGACGGCTTTGCAGCAGAATTCTATAGAAAATTCAAAGAACCCCTTATGCCCTACATGACCCGCCTATTCAATGATATCATAAAAGGGGGAGCCCATCCCCAAAACATGGACCTACTCCAAAATACAGTAGTCTCCATCCCAAAACCACTGAAAGACAGCCTCAAAGTAGAATCATACTGCCCAATCTCATTAATAAACCAAGACTACAAAAAAAAGGGGGGATGCGGGTGGTGCTGTGGGTTAAACCACAGAGCCTAGGGCTTGCCAATCAGAAGGTCAGTGGTTTGAATCCCTGTGACGGGGTGAGCTCCAGTTGCTTGGTCCCTGCTCCTGCCAACCTAGCAGTTCGAAAGCACGTCAAAGTGCAAGTAGATCAATAGGGACCACTCTGGCGGGAAGGTAAACAGCGTTTCCGTGCACTGCTCTGTTTCGGCAGAAGTGGCTTAGTCATGCTGGCCACATGACCCAGAAGCTATACGCCAACTCCCTTGGCCAGTAAAGCGAGATGAGTGCCACAACCCCAGAGTCATCTGCGACTGGACCTAACAGTCAGGGGTCCCTTTACCCTTACAAGATATTCACAGCAATCTTGGCCAACCGCCTAAAAATCTTCCTACACAAGTTAAGAGCCCCAGACCAGACTGGTCGCAATATAAGAGACCGCATCAGGAAACTACTGAACCTGATTGAACACAGCAAGGCAAGTAAACTCCCACTGACAATTATGTCCCTAGACATCCTCAAAGCTTTTGATTGCTTAAAGTGGAAATAACTATTAGCAGTACTAACATGAAATTTGGCCCCAACTTCCTACAAACCCTCAAACAAATATACTCCCAAGCCTCAGCAAAATGCCGGATTAACAATATGGAGTCTAATACTATAGCAATCCAAAGAGGCACAAAACAAGGATGCCCACTGTCTCCCTTCTTATTCATCCTGAATCTGGAACCTTTAGCAATCTGAATCTGAGCAGCCACAGACATCAGACTACATTTTGTACGGACTTAAATACAGCATGTCAAAAGAGTCACGTTTCCAAGCATGTCTAATAACATCCCAATTTAAACTTATTAAAATGAAATTGTGCTTAAGATTGAAAAAAAAGTAGAGAGTAGTCCTGGACCATCTTCAATTCCAACACAAGTTCAGCCAGAAATTATTTATTGTTAAATTTCTATTCCCCACCCCCACCCCTTTTTACCCTCAAGGAGCTCAATGTGACCTGAATGGTTCTCCTCCTCCTCCATTGTATCCTCACAGCACCCCTGAAAAGTTCAGCGAGAATTTAGGAGGGTTAGGAGTTGAAATTGCCTTCTCTTTCTGCATTTTGGGGGATCAAGAACCCCATTTCAAGGGGGTGGGATTCAAGAGAGCTCTGTTGCTGTGATTATTTCATTTCATTAATTTTATTTTGTTCCATCTATGAACTACTTCCTATAAAACACTGCAGAGTGATTTAACAATAAGAAGGCCAATAACCAAAACAATTTCAAGTGTAAAATCAATTTAGGATACAGAGACAGACTGGCATAAAAAGAATTTCCAGCAAAGCAAAGGCTTGTTGAAAAAGGAAGGTCTTCAATGAGCACTGACAAGGCAATAGAGGAGCTCAAGATGGCCCATATGGTTCTCTCCCACCTCATTCAACCCCCACAACAACCCTGTGAGGGAGGTTAGGCTGAGAGGCAGCGAATGACCCAAGGTAGCACACAGGAGCTTCATGGTCAAGGAGGGATTTGAACCCTGGTCTTCCTGGTCCTAGTCTGATACCCTAGACACAACTGGTTTTTTCTCCTGGTGGTACTCAAGGGTACGCAGTACCAGAACCTTTATTCTAGAAGAAAAGCACTGCATAAACACTACAAATTAATTATAATCGCAACAAAATAAATTATCACAACAATTAATAATAAAACAGGAGCTTCACGGTGGGAGGAAACTCATTGGGATTAGCACCTCCTGTCCGTGTGTTTGCTTCTGCGCCCCCTTAAAACTTGCTCAAACTAGGTGGTCATTTCTGTTTTTCATGCTCATTGTTGCAAAGGTACTGTAGGTGGGTCTTCGGTGTTTTCTTCTCTAAAGGACACTGGCCTTTAAAGTTGCCATGAACTCCCCGCTGCTTAGGAAAGGGGGAAGGGACCAGGAATGTAAAAGTGTTATCCTAATTTTGACCAGGGCAATCCATTACCCACCAAGGCTGTTGCTCCTGGCTTCTCTTCCACCTCAGTGCTGAAGATGATTTCCTGCTTCCTGTGTGGTGCGGGCCAGTTTCCCAGCCTAGGATTCAGGAGGGGACACAGTTTTCCCCTCAGGAAGAAGTGTTGCTTGCTTAAGTCTGGCAAGAGTATGCTGGGCCAGAGCCAATTCCCCAGTAGTCCTTGGCTGCAAAGAATTGGGGGTGGGGAACACTGCCTCCCTCCCAGATCTTCAAGTGCATTCCCAGGCTTTGGGGGACATGCTTTATGTCAGGAAATGAAAATAAATCTTCGGCATCTACTTCCTCAGTCTGGCGGCAACTTGCCTACCAACTTTAGTGCAGAGGAAAGTAGCTCCTTTTTGCAAAGGTGCCGGTGCTCCAAGTGTGAGTGTCTGAAAGGGGCCTGGCATGTCCACACAGGAGTGGTGGCCCTGCCAAGAGGCCAGAAGAAGAAACCATCTCAGGTGGTGGGTTGGGGGGGCAGTTAAAGATGGCCAAGTGGAAGTGTCAGGCAGCCCTGACCCACAGGGTAGGGCTGTAGCTCAACTGTAGAAGAGCATCTGCTTTGTGTGCAGAAGGTCCCGGGTTCAGTCACCTGTATCTCCGGTTTGGGCCAGGAAGGACATCTGCTTGAAACCCTGGAAAGCTGCTGCTGCTCAGTGCAGACAGTACTGAACTAGGTGGGGCAATTGTCTGACTCAGTCCATGGCAGCTTCCTGTTGTTATAGGTCAGACAATTGTTATTTGTAAGATTTTGGCCTCAGCTGGCCAGTTATGTACCACCCTTTCCATGTCGAGAGACATATTGCCATAGAGACAAGTGGGCGGGCCTTTCCCCACCTCACCTGACTGTCATCCTAGAATGGAGGCTAAGGGAGTGTGAGAGAGTTTTGGCTGGGGCTGGAAGGCATGTCTTGCTCTGTGCTGGACCCACAGCTGTGACTTAGGTCCCTGGACCCTAATGGGGAAGGAGGATCTGGGGGAGTGTTGATGCTGTGAGCCCCTCCATCCAATGCTCAGCTTGTATTTTTGTGTAAATAAGACCATACAGTCTAAAGTCTCCATAGTCTCCACTGACTTTCATTCCTAGGAAACCAAATTCTGGTGAAGCACTGGAAGCCGTGGGGTCTCTCACCACTCAGAGATTAGGGTGCATGGAACACTGTGCTGTGTTCCTGTGAAGCACGAAGAATCAACCGGGAAATGCTGCTAAGGAAGAGTATTGGAAAGGAATGGAAGCTCTTGTTCAGGACTGGCTCCAAACATCTTGCTTACTAAGAGAGAGGGTGGCTGTGTTCTGCCTCCATTGTTGGGACACAGTATCCCTCTGAATACCAGATGCTGGGAATCACAAGTGGCGAAAGTGCTATTGCGCTCAAGTCCTGCTTTGGGGCTCCCCATAGACACCAGGATGTTCCTTGCAAGAAGAGGATGCTCAACACAGTGGCCTTGGCCTGGTTCAGCAGGCTCTGCTTATGTTCTTCAGGAGGAGAAAGTGAAGTAGGAGTGATGGAATTATAATAAATGCATTATCTAATATGAAAAGCCCTGTTTGATCAGACCAAGGAACTACTGTGTGACCGGGCATTCCAACTTAGATCAGCCATATCCCTCTAGGATTCACACAGGCAGCACATGAAGTGGGGGGAAGCTTTCCTAGTTGTTCTTCCCAGCACTTGATATTTAGTGGTCTAGTGCTTCTGCTCATGGAGGCTCCATTTAGCATTCATCAATAATAACCATGGATAGTTCTCCCTATATCATAGGTCCCATCTAGTTTCTAATGTAGCTTGTGGTAGAGTCTTGACACAGTTATCCTTAAGGTCAGAAACTGAGAAATGACTAGCACAAGAATTCAACAAAACAAATGTTACATGAGAGAAAGAGTGAACATTGGTGGTCAGCCCATGTCACACAGAAGTTGTTTTAATATGCCATTTCAACAATATGTTCCTGCCTGAAAGGAAGCCACGCCAAACAGAAACTCACTTGAAAAGCGACTGGAGCTCAGAAATACCGTATTTTTCGCCATATAGGACGCACTTTTTCCCCTCCAAAAATGAAGGGGAAATCTGGGTGAGTCCTATGGGGCGAATGCAGGCTTTCGCTGAAGCTTGGAGAGCGAGAGGGGTCGGTGCGCACCGACCCCTCTCGCTCTCCAGGCTTCAGGAAGACATCCGCAGCCTAGGCAGCCCTGCGGGAGTTCCCGCAGGGCTGTCTAGGCTGCGGATAGCAGCCTGCTTCCCGGAGCACCGGGCGCGCTGAAAGCAGAGCTCCCGGCACTTCGGGAACACATCCGCAGCCTAGGCAGCCCTGCGGGAGGTCCCGCAGGGATGTCTAGGCTGCAGATAGCAGTCTGCTTCCCGGAGCGCCGGGTGCCCTGAAAGCAGAGCGCCCGGCGCTTCGGGAACACATCCACAGCCTAGGCAGCCCTGCGCGAGGTCCCCGCAGGGCTCCCCACGCTGCGGATAGCAGCCTGCCGCCCGGCGGGCGGGGCGCCCTGAAGCAGAGGGCCCCTCGCGCCGGGCAGACATTAGCCAGCCCCACAAGCTCAGGGGACAGCAGGGAGGCGCAGCGCCGCCATACCGCTGTTCCTCGACCTTGTTCGGTTTCCCTGACCTGCTTTTGGGGGGGAAATAAAGGGGAATTTTTTTTCCTTTATTTCCCCCCAAAAAACTAGGTGCGTCCTATGGGACGAAAAATACGGCAGGTCCTATCCTCATCTAAACCTTTTTTCTCTTTTTTAAAAAAGCAGCTTGTCCAGTCAGAACATATGTACAAAATAAAGCAGGGCTATTCAGAGAAATTGTGACAGGCATTTTCAGGAACCAAACGCTTCCCAAAAGCCCAAGCTCATCTGTTTTCCAAACCCATGGAGACAGGGGAATATGCCACATTCTGGATTGTGCTGTTGCATTGTAAAAGAACTTTAATCACTCATGATTTATGACTTCAGGAGCCCGAGAGTTCCAAACGTCATGAGTTGTACTTTTGACAACCAAATGGATTCTTTCTGGTCCTTATTCATGCCTTCTTTAAAATTCTGATTCTCAGTTCCCTTGGAGGGTAACCAAACAACATTGATATAAGATGCTAAGAGAGAATCAATTAAAAAATATCTCATTAGTAATAACCATGGATAGTTCTCCCTATATCATAGGTCCCATCTAGTTTCTAATGTAGCTTGTGGTAGAGTCTTGACACAGTTATCCTTAAGGTCAGAGGCTCAAACTGCACATGACGTCTATCATGTGCAATTTTTCTTCTGTTTTCTCTCTTCTTTCTGCTAAAGTGCTGCCAGAAATCAGAGACCAGCAGAAGGACTGTAGGTGAAAGCAGCATCTTAACCTCTTCCTCCCCACTTATTTCATACCTCCCGCCCCCATCTGCTTTTCTCCCAATGAGAGAAAACAAGCAGTTACCAGCAACAGTTTTCCAAGCTCAGTTGCATTTTTGCTTCTTGGTTTTGACCACACAAAAGGTTTCCAGATCCATCCTGGTATCTCCAGGTGAGGTGATAAAGGACTCCTGTCTCTAATTTTAGGGAGACAGTACTGCCTTCAATGGATGGATGGTCTGCCTCTTCATAAGGCATCTTTTTCTTTTCCAGATGAAGGGTAGGAAGTTGGAAACAGAAAACTAGTGGAAAGGAAAGGGTTTATGAAGCCCATTCTCCCCCTGCCCCCCCCCGCCAACCTTTGAAGAAGGCCTTCATTTGGAGACTGTGGCCGTGGGCAAAAGGTGTGGGAGACACTGCAGGGGAAAATAATCATGAGCCAAGATCTGGTTAAGTTGTGCAAGGATGGTGTGGGGCAGGAATTAGATTAAGTTCACATTGAAAGGTCAGCCTACCTGATTTGCCATTTCCAAAACTCCTGCCCCTTCTTTTCAAACAAGAACAACTCAGACACAAATGAAGTGCAGAGCTGGCCTTCCTGCAAATAAAGAGCTTTAAGTGTAATTACAGGCTGTATAATCAGCATGAAGAAAAGAAATGCATTGTAATTGATGTCATATTTTATAAATATTCTGGCTGCTTCAGAAATTGAAAAAGCCCTTTGTTTTCAAAAGAAATACTTTAGCATAATGATTATAAGGGATTTAATGGGAGGAATCTATTCTCTGAAGCTGGATTTTCGGCTCAATCTCAGGAAGATAAGTAGGGTTTAATTGCCCTGGTTTGCCAGCAAGCTCCCACCAGCACACCCCAACGAAGCACACACCCCTCCGGTGAGGTGCTGCTCCCTCCCTTAGTGAGCACGGCATATATAGAATCCCTCATTAGGTCGGCCACGTTTAATGGGCTAATCAGTTAGATCCATTGGTTTAAGGGATTTTAATCAGCTTAAACCACTGCTCCCAATTAAATCAGACAGTGGGGTTTTTTAAAGTATCGTTTTCAAAACAAGCACTTATAAAAGCTGCAGGTGACAGTTTTGGAAGGAAAGGCTTTTCTAAAACTTAGGAACAGAGCCTTCTTTTGGCCTGAGGGACACGCCAAAGGCAACGGGGGGCACGATTCTTACTTTATACAGTAGGTTACATTCCAGCCACACAAAAGTCAAAGGTCTCCAGACACCTCTCTATTCTCCATCCACACAACACACACTTCAAGGACACATGTAAGGGGTGTGGTCTGAGGGGAATCCCAAGGGCCACCTAAAGAAGACTGAAGGGCCACATTTGGTCTCTGGGCTTGCCCACTTCTGTTCTAATATGTTGTCATCCATGGCTCATGGGAGCATCATCTTTACAAAGGGCAGTCTCGTGCTCTGGTTACTCAGAAGTTCCACTGGGTTTCATGGAGCTTACTCCAAAGTAAGTGAGCGTACTGAACACCATATAGGATTAATGGATTAGTTGATTAAATCTCATGCTATTAATTAAGTCTATAATCCTTTTAAAAAAATTGAATTTATAAAAAGGTAAACAGAAATTATTATCAAACATCTTTTTTGTCAAAAGTAAACCATTAATCTAGATAAAAGCACAACCCACTATAAAAAAAAATAGAAAAAATGAGAAAAAGAGAGAGAAAGAGAATGAAGAAAAAGAGAAGAAATAGTGGGAGGAGAAGAAGGAAGGAAAATAAAGAACTTCCAATTCTTCATCTATCAACTATTTGTAAACATTATTCAATTTATCCACTCCAGTATTATACCTAACGAAACCACTTTGTATAAACCAACATTCTCTTCAGTCTTCAAACCCAAATTTCATTAGTTTGTTTTCTTTTTTACACAGGTGGTAGCACATGCAAGATGAAAAGAAAGAAAAATTAATATGGAAAGAATGTGATGATCTAAAGTGGATAGGCAAGGGGATTTATAACCTCATTTTTTTAAAGGGAATATGATACTGTTATGTAAATATATGAGCAGGAATTGATAAATTGATAGCTGATGGATAATGGGAAAATTAAAAAAAATTAAAAATAAAAATTGTAAATTGAATATAAGGAAGGAAATGTGAATTAGAGATAAATATGTAATATCAAGCAGCAAGGGGGAAAGTAGGGGTGCATCTAGGATGAAGAGCAGGAAGTCAACTTTTTTGGGGGGAAATTGTAATAAATTTGATATAATTTGGCATTGATTTGTTAAAAAATTGGAAAAA